GACACAAGGGATGAGGGCTGTTCCAGAAAAAAAATGAAATAAAATAAAAACATGCAAACTTCTTTCTGTTTTGGGTGGGGAATAAATTCAGGGATCACTAGTTTGCGTTGAGCGGATGGCTCGGGATCGCGAGCGCATCTGCTGGGGCTGTTTCTGTATACACTCCGCTGCGATGCCGTTATCGAAACCAGATTTTGTTGCAGAGCACACCAGCAGCTGGGTTCTGTACCTCTCTGGCCAGTACATGACTGGTTAATTCCCAATATTTATGTTTCTTGGAAACAGAAAGATTAGCGAGGAATGTGTAACTGGAAAAGGCGAAGGTTTTTTCTAAAAAGAGGGAAAAACAACCAAAAAACAACCTCCACCAGTCCAGATCGTCCAACTGGCTGTTGCAAAAGTCACAAATTAGATGGACGACAGAAGAAACGATCCCGTCCTGATTGCAAACCATGCAAAGCTGATGAAAGGCAAATCAGATGGAGACAGAAGAAAAATCTCCAACGAAACGACAGGACATTTTCTGCCACACTCGTAGTCTTCGGAGAACAGCGCTTTAATTTAAGCGTACTTTAGAATGACTTCATCTATATGAAAATGACATTAAAACTGCCCTGGATGTATTTGCATTTAAAGTGCATTATGTAGCCTGTAGCCTCTCTCTTTTGAGCAGCCCCTGGCAGAAGGACAGACCGCTGGTTCGACTGGGAACGGGCAGGGGATGGAAACCACCAAAATTCATGCACAAGTGGTGCTGGTGCAGGTCTGGGCTTCCAACAGCCACCGCCTCCCACAAAGCTTCTTAAAATGCATTTGCCACCAAAGTTGGAAATCGGAACGGGATCGATTTGATGGCCAAGGAGGGGCTCTGGCTACAGACCTGAGCAAACTGCCAACAGATGGGAATTTTCTCTTTCCACGCTCGCAGACTTGAATTTGCAAGGAGAGAAAGGTCAGGAGGGAGACTCCTTGGTCCCAAGGAAGACCTCAGGCTGAGCCTGCAATTTTGCAACTCCGCGATGTTCAAAGAAAGCTTCCTTTCTTTGATTTCTGTTTTTAGTTTTCACGGCATCTTAACCTCAGCTCATGGCTTTTGTTTGGTTGGGTTTGGGGTTTTTTTGTTTGTTGGTTGGTTTTTGGTGTGTTCTTCTTTTTTTTCTTTCAACTGCAAGCAAGAGTTAGAAGTTTCCCCTTGTTTCAGGACAGAAAAGAAATGCTGGGATAATTGCATCATTTCTCCTCCAGCCCAATCTCGTGGTGCAATGTCAAGTTGGCACCACGGCACAGGAGGCTCGCAATGCTCTGCTGACTGCACCTCCGGTTCTCTTCCCACTTTTTGTACCTTTTCAGGCCCAGATCACTCACAATTCCTCACTTCATGAACAAGAAATCCCAGGTAATGGTACCACGTGTGTAAGGCACCTCCTCACGGGGTCTCTAGTGAGATTTCCATCTTTTGTCTTAAGTCTTAATGTACATTATACACAGAAATAAATACAAGAGCATCCACTAATAAAATATGTATCTGTTCAAAGGTTTTTGGCTCCCATCAAGGGAGTAGTTCGGACTTTAAACACTTTTCCTGCAGGAGGAGGACATGTCAAGCCAGTTTGAAACCAACTCCAACAGTTTCAGCTCACCAGCAGCCTCCCAGTTCACCCAAACCACGTCGTAATGGAAAAGAAAAAGCACGTGCAGTCCGACTCTCAAAAAGAGACACATACACCCGTGTTATTTATCTTAACCGGACACATTTGGGGAATAAAAGACAAAGAAAGGAGCAAAACGCTTCATGCAATTTTCACCATTCAATATTTACAAAAGGAAGTCTATTTTTCTTCAATGACGCCACTAATTAGCGGTGATGCATTTTGATTTGGGGACTGCATAGCAGAACTAAGCTCCCTTTTCTCACCCCAAGCTGTCTAGGACCAGCCACGTGTTTCCTACACCCTTGTGGTGTGCTCAGGTACTCCAAAAAGGAAGGGCAGGAGAGGAAAACGACTCCTGAACGCCTCGCTGCTGCCACATCACCACTATCCAAGCCTTCCCAGCTGCCACCCAGCCAAGTCTTTCTCCAGAAAACGAACACAATGCACTCGCAACGTCCAGACGAGGGAACAGTATAAACAGGTTATGATGACAACTGAATCGGATGTGTAATGCTTTAAGTGTCTCCTAATTCTGCATTGTAATAGAAAAGCTTTAAAAAAAAAAGGCATGACATCCGCATGAATGCCAAATTAATTCATTATGATCAGCGCTACCACAATGAACACCAAATTAATTCATCACTGCAGAATACACAGAGCACTACCCACTCGTTAGGCTTGCTGACGACAATATAGGGATGCCAATTCTCGCCGAACAGCCGCGGGAGGTCACAGGTACCGCTGCCTTGCCCGCTCAGGAGCAATCTTGCACGTGGACACGGATTTCAGCCACCTGCCCCAACACACGGGTTGGTTTCAAATACAGACCCTGAGCATGGCCAGCTCCAGCACACGTTATTCCCTAGTATATAAAGAATTAGCAACGATGCTTCCTTTCTCCAAACCAGATCATTCCAGGAACTCTCAAGGCTTTGTCCTTTTTACAGGATAATAAGGAATACCCCAAATAAATCTGCTCCAATCCCTCGGTCTTCACCATCTCTCCTATACAGCTTCTGGGATCCAACATTAAGGCTGTTAGCAAGGTCTTTTCGCCGGACTCTTGAGTCAACTGCATTTGACAAAACTCAAGTTTGAGAAATTGTTTTGCGCTTTTGGAAAGTTTCCACTCCTCCAGGAACAGCTGAGGCATGGCCGCAAGCCTTGAAGCTTGTGCCAGGGATAACTTACATAATGGCAGCGTTTGATTTTGAACGGAGAGATCACTGAGAGAGGGGCTCTTGAAGCCTCCTTCATCTCCCACCTTCTGAGGCGCTGCCCTTTGCTCAGGCAGCATCTGCTATTTCGCAGCCTGGCCATATGCTCGGAAGAAACTTACGGGGGCTTCGAGTCTCTCGCTGTTCCCAAAAAGGCCCCAATACCTTTGCAAGGGAACTCAGAAAAAAAAAAACAAACACAAAAGCCACCTGTAAGGAAAGGATGGAAACCGTTTCAGCAGCTGGTCCTCCTTGCTGGACCTGAGGCCCAGATGCCTCCCCAAACCCAAGATGAAATTACTCCTCCCAACGTTATGGAAAGCAGCAGCTCCAGCAGGGAACGATGCCAAGAGGAGAAGTTCCAACGTGTGGCTGGAAATCCTGTCCTTAGCTCGTCATTCAAGTCTCCTGTTTAAATCACAGGGACTTTGGAGAACGCTGCTGAGCACTCAACCTGTGAAAGAGCCCATAGCTTTCTAAAAGCTGTTTTTAGCAAATTTTCTCCTCTTCCATTACTTTTTCCACCATTAAGAAAGAAATCGACCTTCAAGACGACCTTCAAGAGCTACGGTAGCCTTTGAAATGAAGGTACAGCACTTAAACCTGCAGAGATGGGAAGCCATTCAATGTGTCCTCCATGGAGTGACACAATTTATTCAAGGTCTTGCTGGAGCACACTACCCCACTCCGATAAAATCCTTCTTGCTGTTACGTTCCTTAAGGTTACGGAGCGGAAAACCAACCACAAGCTCAAGGAATGGAAGTTTTACACCCACCACGTCTGGATGAAAGTTCTTCCCAGGACATCCTGCCTTTCTCTTAACTTCTCAATTTGCCAACAGAAGGGTTTTTCTAGAAGGGTTTTTTTCTAGAAGGGTTTTTCCAGCAGAACTTAGGGGAGAACTTTCATCTGTCCTCCTCCTCTCCCTTCACAGCACTTTGCTAAGCTAGAGAACACGAACCCAGCCATCACTTCCCAACCAAACCTGGCTACCTCCAAGGGTAGCGATGCCAGCTATGCTCCTCGTCTTAGAGGAGCCGGTTTTGAAACCAGAGCATTATGTCCTTTAGAGGATCCAAAGCTTATTTTCAGAAGTGCTGAGACCAAGCAGACGTTTGTTGAAGAGACCATTGCAAGGGAAGGGAGTGCTAGTTCATTTCAGCACATCCTGTTTACAGCCTGTGCTACTTTCTAAGTCATTCAACCATGACAATTGTTGTCCTTCTGAATATGTTAATTGTGATATTTTTATACAGCTCCAGAACATATTTACAGACCACAGCAGACTTTCAACAACAATGAAACTTGTAAGCAGTAAATATAGGACAATCATCCAAAAACAACCAGCTATCCTTCAACACGTCTTGGCATTTGGGACACCATCGCCATTCAAAACATATGTTAGAGAAAGCTTTGCAGCACAACCCAGCCGAGGTGCTTCTCTGCCTTATGCTTTCGGTTTCGTTGCCGTTTCGGGACCTCGATGCCACCTCGGGACCTGCCACCCTCCTCTGGTGGCAGCATCCAGAGCTCACTTTGGGGTTCCTCTGCTTGCTCCCCATCCACCTGGGAAGGGAACGGGTGGGAACCCACCAAGGGGCTTCCACCAGCAGCTGCCCAAGCACTGGGGAGGACAGCTTGGCCAAAAACAGCTTGGCCAAGAGCCCAAAGCCACCCCTGGTTCCCCCTTTTGACGTTTTACCTTAAAATTCAGGGCCCCTCTCCCAGCGACTTGTTGGCAGCACTTTCGGGTATTTCCAACTGCGACAAGCCCAGATTCAGAACCAGAGCCACAGAGAGAGGCACAATATATTTTAATTATACATGTTTACTTTAGAGGAAAGTAAACAAAGATCAGTTTAATGAAAAGAGACTAACGTAATGGAAGCAGCTGGAAGGTTTTTTTTTTTTAAATCCAAATCACCATTTCTTCCATTATTTAAAGTTGTGTCCAAGTTTTTTTTATATTTGACATAAATCTAAACCTATTTTTTTTGTATGCTAAACAGGTACAAATGCAGTATTAAATACTGCTTAAAACCCTAAAGTGTTATGTAGTCGGTATATTTTCCCCCATTTAATTTATTCAGGGTCTCGCTTTAAAAAAAAAAAAATCACTATAAATTTTCAGCTCTAGTGGCAAAAGGTTTATTGGTCTTTGTACTTCATTAAAGGTTTTTTATAAAGTCATGTTTGTTCTTTTGAGTAGCAAATAAAACTACTGAAAAGGGCAGGTTGGTTTTTAAGAGACAGATATGACCTAAAGGGAACACATTTTACTGTAGTGAAATAAACTGAGGAAACAGTTTGCAGATTAAAAACCCCTTAAAAGGAAGCATCATCTTTGGAAAAAAGAGTCTTTGCCGAGGAAAACAGCTGGAAACAGGAAGCTTTCGTGCTTTCATCCTGCCTGCTTTGATACCACCGCATCCCCATATCATAAAAAGGCAAAGAGAATGGCGTCAGCTGCATCTTATTTCAACCGTGCGGGACGGGGGGAGGCTTCGTGGAGCAAAAGCAGGACTGTCCATGAACTCACACGTGCACATATATGTGTATATACACACACACACGTGTACGCTTAGTCTTTCCTGGAGTAATTAATCAGGAAAATGAGCACAGGTTCATTACCTCCTCCAAAGCAGAGTACAGCACCTTGTACGCTTCTCCTTTGAAATAAATCTCAGCACTGCCGTGATTTTTGGGGAGATCCAAGGCATTTGGTGTTGGTTCTTCTCCCGTGGTAGCCTGGCGGTGTCTGCAGACCTCATCACCTCCGAATTCGGACTACGGGACAGTGACACTGGCTGGTTTTCCCAACAGCATCTCCATCTCGAAAGCCCAAGCTGTCCTCCTGCTGAGCGATGCTACCAGCTTCTGAATTTGGGGGTTTTCTTGGTTTCAAGACAGCTTCTGACCAGCAGAAACTGAGAAGCCGGTTGTGTTCTTCTGCGTGCCTCGTCCCCAAACACGCTCAGCAAACGAACCCTGTTATTGGTACAACACAACTAAAGCAAATACGAAAAATATGACACGAAGCCTCCCAAAGCTGCTATAAGCTGGGGCAAGGCAGCAGACTTTTCTTCCTCTTTCCAGGCAGCTAACCAAGCGTATTCTTCTCTTAATTTTTTAATACTTTCCCGTAGCAGAGCGTTTCGATGCTCTGCGTGACACGGGGTAAGAAAACAAGAGGTATATCCACAAGGACTGACAACCTTCAATTTGAAAGTTGCCATTAATGGAATTAATCATGTTTACACAACTTCCCGCTGTTCAACTTATTTCATATCCTCATATCTTTCATCCAAGCTATTTCCCCTACCAAGAACAGAACAAAAACTTCCCCAAGGGCACGGGATCCAGTCAATTGTTAGCACTAAATGCTCTCTCCTGCTGTCTCTTTGTCAGCCTGTTTCAGGCTCTCCTGGCTGCGGCGAGCCAAGGTTGCTGCTGCCTCGCTGCCTACCTATTTCCAAGTCCGAGGCCGCTTTTTTCTGCTCTTTTCTTCTGTTTTAAGCCAGACGGGAGTGGGATCGCTAGGCAGAGCTGGCTTTCTTTCCCTGGAGCAGTGGGGCAGCGAATCGATGTGGATGGTGCTCGCTCCCCAGCTTCCCAGACAGTTCTCACGCAGAGCTGTGACACTTTTTACTCCGGGAAGGCCAGGAGCATCCAAAGGAATTGGATCTTCAATTTGTTCTCAATGCTGGTTTCTGCATAAAGCAACATGAAATCTCCTCCCTTTCATACATATCTACAGCTTCCAACACAGGACACATCACCCTGATGCCAAACCCAGGCAAATAAGTTTCCCATAAAATGTCGTAGCAGCTTTCTGAAGCTCAAAGCCTCCAGTTCTGGTTTCTCCTCGCTACTCGCATACCAGATATACCCTGAATCGAAGAACACGCAGATGTATATCAAAGTATATGAAGATGCACACGGAGAAAGGCTCCGGTAAATCCAGGTGATAAAACCTAAGTGCACGCATTGCATAACAAGGCTGCTTTACGAGCACCGAGTCTGCAGGCTTCTCCCCTAAGAACAAGCAATTATGAAGGTGAAGAAAGGTAACGGCTTTAAAACAACACGCTAATCCCAATATTAGTGCCTCGGAAAGGGAGAACTGCCAGGAATTTGGAGTAATGCCCAGTTATCTGTCTTACCTTCCGTAATAAAACCGTGCTATAAACGTGAAGATAGGATAGGCGCTAACCTTGTTTGGGTGGGGGGGGTTGGGGTGTTTTAACTGTTCATCATAACACAAGCGATAATCTACTGGCTTTAGGAAGAGCTAGAGATACTCATCAACGTGCCAGCATGAAGCCTTTTATTTAGCATATAAGTTTTAGGAGCCGAGTTCACTTCCCTCCTGCGAACGACTGCTTAAGTCTTGATTCACTTTAGCTACTGAAATAAAAAAAATATAGTGAAAAAAACTGCTGGAAGGGGCAATAGTTGGCTTGCTGTTCCAAGACCAAGCGATTTTGGGCCAGGAGTTGGCTTTGACAAGATCTTAGCAGCCGTCTACACAGCCTGGGGACTCCTCGACCCCCTTAGCATCGCGCTTGGTGGCAGGAGGTGGCACCGGGCTGTCCCCAGGAGGAAGGGGTGGCATGCCCACCTGGGAGACAAACAGCTCTCAGGACACCACCTTTCACACCGAGCTTCCTATTCCGGGCAAATCGGATGTAGAATTCCCATTTCTTAATCCGGGAGACTGCAGAGCTGATGTATAGCAACATTAAAAACAGGCAGAAAAACAACCCCGAGCCTCGGATGCCTGTTTTCTCTATGCGCCCAAGCCAGCCTCCAATAGCCGTAAATAAAATTATAGCAGCAGTTTGTTTACAAGCAACATCACAATTGGAACAATAACAGACTAGTCACAAAAACCAACAGAAATAAAATATGAGTCAACTCCTTGCTTTGCCAGACTGAGGGCTCGAGATGGGCCTGCGCCGTCCCTCGGGGATCCCAGCGCTATAAGCACAATAACAGCAGGACATGCCTCATTTCCTTCGGCTGCTCACCATGGCTCTCTCCGAGATGTTTGTAAACTTCCTTCCTCTCCGCATCAGGCTGTCAAACTGTCGTCAGTTCGGGGGAATAATAATATCCTGTTGATGCCCGCGCGGATCGACCTCGGCACAAAATAGCGGCGACGTACGGGCCTTTGTGCACACAACGCGTTGGTTAAGGGAATAATCCAGGGACAGGGCCACGAAACTCGCTCGAATTGACCAGCTCTGAGGATTTCCAGCTCTTCTTGAGCTCGATAATGGGGGATTTTGAATTTCACCACGGAGAGCACGCACAGCTCCCGGGGAACCCAGCTCCAAGGGAAGAATATCAACCGCTTGTACCTCCTAGGCAGCCACACAACAAACCCAACTCCATTTCTGAACCAGAAACTCCATTTCTGAACCCGAAACCTTCAGATCCTCAGGATAAACGCTGCCAGAGGAGTTCCTCGGGGCTGGGAAGTCAGCTCCGGGTCCCCAGAAGCAGCGCTGGGTTTTCCAGCTTCGGGAGGAGGAAGCACACGCACAGCGCAACCGGGAGCCAAACAAAAGCCATTGTGTAGGGAGCAGCACTAACGAGAGCGAATGTGGGGTGGATTAATTGTTAAAACACCGAGGCAGAGCTAGAAGGATTGGGATGCGAGGGGGAAGATTTGTTTACGGGACAAATGAAATCGATAGGATCAGATTCACCCCATGATTTAGGGGATCTGTGACCTCCTCACCCCATATCGAACAATAGGAAATATTTTCCTTCTACTCTCTTTGGCAAAGTGGCTCTGACTTGGTTTATACAGGAATTAAAACCAAGAGCGGCTTCAAGAGCTGTCACCCAGAGACCCAACTCGTGTCCAAGTTACCCTTACAAGACACGGGATTTTCTACTGAATAACAACAAAAGAAGTGGAAATTGGAAGGGCTCCACAGGTAGAGAGAGAAGCAGGTGCTCCGTTTAGCTTTTACCGTCATTTACAAGGCTCGCTGGCGTTTCTTTTTCAAAGCCCTATCAATTTTACAGCACGATAGAACTTCCAGATTTGGGATGATAAAAATTTGCCAACTTGCAAAGCGAATTAATGATTCAGTTAAAAAAAAAAAAAAAAGAAACAGCCCGGTGTGATCTAAAATAAGCAAGTTCTGCAGCAGCGAGCAGAAAACACAGCCATCAGCCGGCTGGGGCAACATTTATTTTTTATAGGAAATCTGTATAATGGAAAACACACGCACAACCCCTCGGAATTTTCCTATAAATATCTAAGTGCTCCCAAATCGCCGAGCAGAGCGCGAGCGCGCTCCTCTTCCACCTCTCGCAGGAAATGCTCGATGACTTCCCGTCAGAAAGCCCGATAATCACTGTCTCTCCTTCACGTTTTGGAGTTGCCTCGCCTCTAACGTGTCTCAACTTTCTTTCTAGGATTCAGTCGAAAATCTTCTCTTCCCACCCGTGCCTTTTAGCTAACGCTTCGGCACTTGGAGGAGTTGCATTTGCTGTTTGCCCGGGGGATTTCGGGTGATTTTATTTCGCCGGCATTAAAGCCTGCTTGAGTTTAGGCTCCGAGGAGGAGATTCACGCAGGTATCGGGGTTTTGGTGTTCAAAGGGAATTTGTAGGCGTGGGTAAAAAGTACAGCCCCCTTTCTGACCTCATGACCCGCTTCTGACACAGGCACGGCCGCAGGAACACCTCCACCTCCCAATTTTGTAGGTTATTTGGAAATAACCTATAAAATATTAGGACCATTCCTAAATAGACGTATATCTGAGGCTCACTCCACATCCCACACCCCTGGGTGGTTTGGGTACAAAGCATTATTTCCAATATTTTAAACGAAGCAGTCACACACCACTCCCTAATTATTCCTCTCCCCATTTTCAGTACCGGGGCTCAACACCGGACTTCACCCATCCTGTCCTCACGGCCCTTTGGGAGATCCACTATAAAATTTGCTTCTTTTGCCTATTAACCCCAATATTTGATAATATCACTTTGCAGGTTCTCTCGCCGAGGAGCAGCAATTCCTGAAAGACTCCAGCCTCCTGCCCCCGTTGTGGCTGGGAGGAACAACAAAATCCTTCTTGGGAACAAGTCAAGGGGAAAACATCTTGTTTTGGTCACATGAAAAACAACGACAACCACTGCTGTGCTTGCGGGATGGGCAGAGGCAACAACATCTGACCACTGCAGGGCTTGTGATTCAGGGATTTACATAAAACTGAGCACAGAAAAAACCCCGTGGGCATCAGTGCAAGCTGATGGGAGGACAAATTCAGGTCCTCCTGTCCTCCGTGCCGTTCCCCATCCCTCCTTACCGGCAGGTAATTAGCGAGCCTACCTCGGCTATAAAGGAAAAACTCTTCCCAGCCGGCCTCTGATCCTGCCCTAAACTCATTTGAAATAACTCTTTTAATTCCAAATTAACCCAATTACTGCTTGAATTACAGGAACTACATCAGAGTACTTTCCTGGGAAGCGAGGTGATGTCATGCGCCGGGCTGGTGCTTGAGCACGGGAAAGGATTCCAGGAGGAGCTGCGGGAGAAATGGCTCGAAGCAAGAGCCACGGACCGCTTGGGGTGGGAAGGGGCGTCTGGTCCCACCTCCCTGCTCAGGCAGAGCCAGAATCCGCAATAAAATGGGTGAAAACACTTCTAATTTTGTCCTTCCCCCCCTCTGCTGCCCCGTAAAGGAAAATGGTTAAAAATCCCACAGACAGCTGTAAGGTCCCGCAGCTCCCGAGGCACAAACCCTGGTTAGGGCGCAGCACAGGCACCCAGCGAGGCATTTAATGCTAGCCCTCAACCCCAAATCCCTCTGGGGATCCCCTACAGGACCTCAGGTGATGCTGACGGTGGCCGGACACGGGGCTGGGAGCTGCCAGATGTGCCCCGATGAGGATGCTCGGTGCGGGTGGCGCTGGACGGAGCAGGCTGCAGAGGACACGCTTCAAGCAGCGGCGCCCAGAAGCACCTCTCCTGCACCTAAGAGGATTAGGACTTTTTTTTTTCCCCTCTTTGCTTGCCCAACCACCCAAAGCTGCATTAATGAGGCACCGCTGCTGCTTATGTCAGCACCAGCCCTTGGCTCGAGCGCTCGGTGCCGAGCGGGGCCGCGGAGAGGAGCCGGCCCCGCAGAAGGAACCGGAGGTTTCTGCTCAACTCCTCCGCACCACAAATTTGTTTTCAATTTCCTTAAATCCAGGTATTAGAAAGATTGACCTCAATGTCGTCTTTTAAGCTCGCGCCGGAGATTTAGATATGGTTTATGGGCTGCAACATGACTAGTTAAATCAAGCCTTTAATAATCTCCCCGGTCCTAATACGTTCCCGTTCTCTCTCATTTAGAATTTACACTGAGGACAGGTTTTGATGCTTGAAATGCGTTTCAGAGAGAATAAACACGAGTGCTTTTCATTTCTAGCAATCTTTCTATCGTGGTCCCTTCCCAGCACGCTGGGGACAGGGAGGATAAGGGGGAAGAACCAAGGGGGACCCCAAGTTGTTCTGCACCCAGCGCCTCCGTTGGGCAGCCCCTTTCACTCCACCCTCTTTATTTTCACCCCCCTGATCCCATGACGAGCCAGCCCACTTCATGCAAAATGCCCCTTTCCCTTCCAAAATTGTGCTTTTGAGCCGAAACATCTTCCGCAGACTTTCAGCACAAACACGGCTCTTGGACAAGCTTTCGGATTCCTGGCTGGGCCTAGGAAAATAACCCCAAAGATACGAACACATCTGAGAGATTCCCGTTTCTTTTTCCCTGACCTTTGTCAGCTATAATTTTATAGGAAACTAATCATGAGAGCTGGCAAAAATGTCTTGACACAGATGCATTTTCAGCAAAGGGGGAATATTTGGCACAAAAAAACAAGCAAGGAAGAATAGGGAGAACAAAACCTGTGCTTATTTCTACGGCGCTGGTATTTGCATTTATTAGGTATTGACCAAATACTCATATTTGCATTTATTAATTATTGACCTAATAAATGCAATAAAAGCATTTAAAATATAAATAAAAG